CAGACTCAGTGTGGTTAACAGCTCCCTCTTACTCTCAGACTCAGTATGGTTAACAACTCCCTCTTACTCTCAGACTCAGCGTTGTATGGGGGATTGTATGATCTATGATCTATGATCTAGAATTCAAAAAGAACTGCTTGGATACACTCTGTGATCCAAGACATGAGCATACACCCATATTGGTAAATATTGGTTCATATAACCTGTTAGAGATTAAATACATCATGAATAAACCACATATATATTTAACTGGCAATCCATATTGTCTTACATTTGAGAAAAATGGTAATTCATGCCTGTTATCCTGAACCTCATGATTTATCGATCTGTCTCCCAATTTGTAAGGCATTTGTGTATTGCTGAACTCGACAGCAGCATTGAACTGAGTAAACATTACTGAAGCGGTGAGCAAGAGGCAGCTGAATGAATTTGTATGAGTCTCCCAGTAAAAGGAAACTGAGAGAACAGACGCAGACATAGTAAGAACTGCCGATGCTGGAGTCAGAGATAATACAGTGTGGAGCTGGAGGAACACAGCAGGCCAGGTAGCATCAGAGAAGCAGGAAAGTTGACGTTTCGGGTCAGGACCATCCTTCAGAAATTTTTGTTCTGGAGGGAGAATGACAGCTTCTTCAAGGTGGACATCCTTGGAAGATGCTTCACCGTGGGGTTATAACTCACTCAGAGATAGTAAGAACTGCCGATGCTGGAGTCTGAGATAACAAGGTATGAAGTTGGAGGAACACAGCAGGCCAGACAGCATCAGAGGAGCAGGAAACCGGATTTTTCGGGTCTGGACCCTTCTTCAGAAATGGGGGAGGGGAAGGGGGCTCTGAAATAAATAGAGGGGGCACGGTGATAGAAGGTGGATAGTGGAGCAGATAGGTGGGAGAGAAGATGGACAGGTCAAGGAGGCGGGGATGAGAGGGCGGGTTGGTCTTGGGATGAGGTAAAGGGTGGGGAGATTTTGAAGCTAGTAAAGTCCGCATTGAGACCATTGGGTTGTAGGGTTCCAAGGCGGAATATGAGGTGATGTTCCTCTAGTTTCCAGGTGGCATCGTTGTGACATTGGAGGAGGCCCAGGATGGACATGTCGTCCAGGGAGTGGGAGGGGGAATTGAAGTGGTTCGCGGCTGGGAGGTGTTGTCATTTGTCGCGAACCGAGCGTAGCTGCTCTACAAAACGGTCTCCAAGCCTCCGCTTGGTCTCACCAATATAGAGGAGGCCACATCGGGAACAGTGTATACATTAGACCACATCAGCGGATGTGCAGGTGAACATCTGTCTGATGTGGAAGGTTTTTTTTGGGGCCTGGGATTGTGGTGAGGGGAGAGGTGTAGCACTTCCTGCAGTTGCAGGGAAAGGTACCGGGGGTGATGGGATTAGTGGGGAGTGTGGAGCGGACGAGGGAGTCACAGAGAGAGCGGTCCCTCCGGAAGGCAGATAAGGGTGGGGAGGGAAATATATCCTTGGTAGTGGGACCA